ATTATATAACATTTGATGAGATGTTTCATCAGATTAAATGTAACTATAATAAAATTCATCAATAGTTCTTTGTGATAATAACAGCTATCATAGATATTTCCTACTTAATAATCTCAAGTTAGATATTACTTATAATAGCTTCTTATGTTATTGAGCTTATAATATCTTATATAGTTTTATTACTGTAATCATTTGAATTTTTCCATTTTTGGGAATTATAGTTTTTTTTTGTTTTTTTGTTTTTAGTTTCCAAGGCACTGTATTAAATATTGAGTTGCTATGAAGAGTATACATTACCTATTGGTTTTAAAAATATAAAAAACATAAAATAAATCAATGAACCTCTGTGTATTTGAAAAGAGCATTTCATTTAATTTAAACTACAGACATTTTTTATTCCTTTTTCTAGCCTGATTCATCTCCATTCCCAGAGGCAAAACCACTTTTCTTGATTTTGTTGTATGAATTTATACTGCTAAACAATGATATTATTTACTTTGCCTCAGAACTGAGTTTTTTTCTAGTAGTGTATTCTTTTTATATATATATATAATTTGTTTTTTTCTCAAATCGTAATTCATTCACACAGGGGTTATAAACACAGAAAGGCAGGATGTGGGGAAGGGAATGACACTGGAGTGTGGGTGATCAGGAGGAATACAGATATCATCAGAACCGGGTATCGGCTGGGTGAAGGTTCAGGGGGCAAGTCACTATGACTCTGCCTATGACTCGCTTGTCCTTATCTAAATTGGTATTGTCTGCCCAGGCTACCTATTTACAAGGTCTATGACTACTCAGGCTTGTAAATTTCCACAAAAGCTGCCTGTTAACATTAGCTTATAGCCATCTGTTTTGATGTTTTTCCACTGAGACCCAAGACTTGGTGTTAGTATACATGTATGACAGGCCTATTGCTGATTTTAGGCCTATGGCTGATTTTAGGCCTTCAGTGTGTAAGCAGGGCTGCCCCTGACATCTCCTCCCTTCTCTAAGTATAGAAGAGCTGTGGCAATTTTAAACTTACGAAGGTGGGGATAGAGGCCTGACCTCCAGTATTTGAAGGGGACCTTGTAATGGCTGCAGTCCCCCTGTCGTTGTCCAGTGAGGCATGAGGGCCATACCCGTCCCGATGTCTTTTTCCTGGAGAGGGGATACTTTTGACATCAACCCCTATGCAGTCAGGCTTGTCCCTCAGGGAACCCAGATAGATATTTTTATTTTTTATTGATATTCCCTTGCAGTGCTTAGCCTCGCAGCCTAAGCAAGAATTCAGATCGCCTGACAAAGGGGGTTCTGGGTGGCCCCTCTCTGCTTGGTCTAGGGGCAGAAGTCCCCCCTTTTAGGCTGGGTGGAGATGGGTTTTGGAAACACCCTGTATAAAGTAATAACCTCATCTTGAGTCTCGTGGTCCTCCATAGCTAATTAATGATAATGTATCTGAGTAGTTTTTGCTACCAAATTATTTATCTCTTGCATCACTGAGTTAGTCCGCATATTTGAGAGCCAGGGACCAGCAGAAAAAAGCAAAAAGAACCCAAATAATGGTCCCAAGATGGGAGGAAATAGGGTTGACAACCTTGGAGAGGCTGAAAACCAATTCTTGTACCAGCCTTCATCTGTCTCTTTCACTCTCTGATTTTTCTTAGGGCCTTCACTACCTGTTTCATGCTTTCTTTAACCCTCCTTGTCTTGTCTATGTAAAGGCAACCTTCTTCTTTAAGAGATGTACACAGTCAAGAGCTGTACACAGCCTTTTCTATTGTAATAGAGTAAATCAAGTCCAATAAGGATCTTTGCGATTTTAGGAGGTTTCTTCAGACAGCGAAACAAGGGATTTCTTCAGATTAGTGATGTCAATCTCTAGCTGTTTGATGTTCTTGTCAGTGGCCCTTCAAAGGTCTGAGTAGTGTAATTTCAGAGGCCAGCATCTGGATTAGAACTTCCAACAGCAGACATCACGGCTAATTCATTTTTACCTGGAAAGGAGAAAGAAGGGAATTCTCAGGGAGATTTCTCTTTCCTGGATGTAAATTGTTATTCATCGTATTTATGGTTGGGCCTGGCTTTGTGGGAGTATCTATTTTTTTATTAATCTTTTTGGTAGCCAGTTAGCTGTGCCTTCTGTGGTATCAGACAGGCATATCAGTCCTCAGCCCCATAAGGGAACTGGGTCTGGGCCATTCCCTTTAAGGGTAAGAGGGTCCTTCCCCATATCTGTGGCAAAGTTTTGTTGGTCTCGGTGGTGCCAGAGGCAGTAAGCAGCAGATTTGCCATGAACTTTCAGCTTTAGAGAGATAAAAGTGAACAAGGCATGATGGAGAGTATTTCAGGGGGACTCCTTCTGAGGGGGTACCGTTCCCCCTCTTTTGTTTTTAAAGCCAATTTTTCAGAGTTCTTGTAAAATCAGGGCAGAAGTGCCAACAGTCGCTCCTTCCACACTCAGAGAGTCATGAAGACCCTATTTAAGGATATATAGATCTATACTGATAATCTTTTGTCAAAGGACTGTTATAGCACCGCCAACAACTAATCAGACTATAAAATATATCGATTAGTAATAGCTTCTTCTACTTTTTGTGAGATTACCTCTCTTTTGTCAATTAATTGTTGAGGATAATTAGGATTTACATCTCTATTGAGAATATTGAACAGAGACTTAAATTCTTTTGTGGAAAGCTTAAAATAGGATCTTAGCCAATTAGCAACTCCTAGAAACTTTTGAAAATAATTTAAAATAAGTAAACTCTCTCCCTCTCTCTCTTTTTTTTTAGACCCTTTATCTGTGTGGTTTTTTTTTTTATTGGATATTATACATATTTACCTTTCAATGTTATCTCCTCTCCCATTCTCCCCTAAAACCCTTTTCCCATACCTCCTCCTCCTAATTTTTGTGAGGGTGTGCTCCAAACATCCTCACAGTCCCATCTCCCTGCTCTGGAATTCCTACACAGTAGGGGATCCAAACTTTTGGGGACCATGGCCCTCCACTTTCACTGAAGTCTAACATGGTCACCCTCAATTCCCTATACAGGTGCATGAGTCCCTCCCTTTGTGCTCTCTGGCTGGCGGTTTAGACTTTAGGAGCTCTGGTTGAAACTTTTGATACTCCTTCTAGAAAGGACCAAAGCATCCACACTTTGGTCTTCCTTTTTCTATGTGAGTTTTATGTGTTTTATACGTTGTTTCTTAGAAATTGTGAGCTTTGGGGCTAACATTATATTATATTATAATTTTTAATCACTCAATTTATACATTTTTCATAGTATTAATACTTATAAGTATTATATGCTGTAATATTTATTATAGCATATCTTTTATGTTTTCTTCTGTGGGGTTTTTTAACCCTTTAACCAAACTCACATTTCTAAAACTTTCCAAGTTTAAAAAATAATCAACCCAAATTAACATACTTATAATGTCAAAAAGTGGTTAAGAATCAATTCAATCATTACAAATATATTTACCCGCAACTTCACATCAAGTGGTAAGTCTAAAATAGTCTTCATGGCTCTGGGTGCATATTGAAAGGCTTACATACATTAAGAAGCACGAGATGTGCTGACTTTGCATAGAAGTCATTCCCAGCTTCAGCAATAGGGCAGCCATTTGTGTGATTGAGCTTATCCTTTGGATAGAAAATTATGTGAATATTTTGCTTAATTAAATTTGAGAAACATTTAAAATGCACATTTTACTTGGTAAAAATTTTGGGGGGAATTCATAGAATGGTGGCTATGTCCTCCCATTCTGAAGGAGGGAAAATATTGTAGGAAATCACTGAGAATTCCACACTGACACACACACACACCCCAACTCCCTTCACCCCCTCACCCCATCTACCCCCACCAAGGGCTAGAATTGGGAGGAGCAAAGCCCTCTGGGAAATACTGGTCTTCAGTCTTCCTTAATCTAAGAAGCAGGTACAAAGGGACCACCATATGATGCTTGAGCGGGGATGGGGGATGTGTGATCCCCTAGCCTTTTCCTCGAAACTGAAAAAGACACATGTTCATTCCTGGCACCAGAGCTCACTATGCCCACGCTCATATCTTACCCCTGATTAGGCTGTTGCTTCCCAGAGAAAGGCGTTCATCCATTAGATTCCTCACTAGGTTGTCAGCTGCAACACACCATTGTTCTGTGACATGGCAATCTTCATAGAGATGTTCATTTTGGCCCAGTCTTCTTGAGCTTGATGTAGCCAGGATTCTTGCTCAGTGCTCTACAAACTTCTTGGTGGCTTCAGCCTCTCACTCAGCCTGCACTGTCTTCTGCCTCTGTTCCTGCTTCGTATTTTCGGCCAAAAATAGAGCCTGTGCGCTTCTGGATGGGAAGTTTGTTTGGGTTCTACAGCAGTGACAGATTCTTGGCTATAGCTCAGCTCTGTGATAGTTATCTCACCCAGGATAAGACTGAAGTCTTGGTGCTCTCTGTCAACTCTCTTCGGATCAACATAAACATGTGGGTTTATTGAGCAATCAGCTATGAGACACTAAACTTGGACACCATACTCTTGAGAACCTCACTGACAACGGACAGCGGCACTCACTCCTAGTAATAGAGGGAACTGGAACCAGAGGATCCTGAAGTGAAGGCCGTTATGCGGAATCATGTCCTGCTTATGCCTCTAATCTGATTACAGAAGATGGCTCCAAGATCACCTTGTAAAATGAACACAGATTCATGAACACCGTAGGCCATGGCCACAGCCATGTCCCCCCGAGTAGCAGCTTCATCACTACATCTATATCCCGAAGCCCCAGGGGGCAAGCACTGTGCTATGTCTTTCCAGTTCTGGACAATATCTGATCCACTGAAGGCAACAATACGAGATGTTAGGAGAGGCTACCCAACGGCTTCTACCTCAGTCCAGTTTAGAAGCCTTGCTCTGTACATGAAGATCGGGGATCATGGCACTTGAAAAAAAAATTATTAAAATATTTACTAAGTGAAACAGGCAGACAAAAATGAATATAATTTCTTTATTTTCTATTTAGCTTTGGGGAAAGACAAGGATTACATGGATGAGTCTGAACATGCCAACTATGATAGATCGCGTCTCCTTAACGACTTTGTTACCAAAGATAAGCCTGAAGCCAAGACAAAATTATCTAAGGTAATACAAACTAAGTTATTAATGCATAATTTTTGTAATGTAATGTTTAAAACATTTGAGCATTCATCTCTATGGTTAGATTTGTGCTGGAAAATGTAAACAAAACATAGAAATTAATATCCATTTTAAAGAACTCAACCATGAATAGCTATTTATTGATATATTTATTTGTATTACTAAACAATTACTATTTAACAGATCAAAAAGTGCCCCTTTATTTTTTAAATATATTCTTTAATTTTAAAATATTTTTATTTACTTGTTTATTTGGTTTTATTTCTTTTCATTTGAGACAGGGTTTCTTCTTCTGTAGCCTTAGCTCACAAGGAACTCACTCTGTAGAAGAGGATGGCCTTGAACTCATAGAGATCTGCCTGCCTCTGCCTCCCGAGTGCCAGGATTAAAGCCGTGTGCCATTACCACCCAATTTATATTTTAAAATTGTAATTACATTTTTTAATAATATGATTTGCTGATGAATGATATCCCAGACTCAGACAGTATGCAAAAACAAAGAATGTTTTATTCTGCAGAAGCAAGGCATGCTAGGGTCTTCCTTATACTAGATGGAGACACCCAACTGAGCTCACAGGCTCAATTTAAAGCACATTAGGAGAATTCCAGGGAGGGGTAGGTGACCTTTATCTTATATGGTTGGCTCTATATCTAAGGACATTCCAGAACCATTGCTGGGGGCGAGGACTGGAAACTGTTTTTGGGGAAGCCTGGAGACTGCTGCTGACTCACTGTCCTTGCCTCAGGCCAGGGCAGGGCTGCTTCTGATAGTAGGGCAGTTTCTGATTGGCTGCCCAAGGCCTGGGGTTTTTCCAATAACTGACCTGCCTGGATCTGCCCAGTTCTTGGAAACAGAGGTCAATCGTGGCCTAGTCTCCTGAACTGCCAATTTGAATGAAGCCTTTCATGGAGACAGCCTCTCTCAGTCCTCTCACTTAGATCATTAGCTCCCAAATAAAAGACACAAAGCCTTTATATTTATACATAAGCTTACAAATACTAGAGGTGGACAGATATCAACCGTTTGTGCTATTTTGTCTTTTTTGCCTATGAATAGTACCAAGATATAACTGGCCATGTTTTGGCCTGTCACTCCTACTCCAACTAGCCAGGCCTCATTGCCACGTGCTCAAGGTCCACCTACCCTAAAGCAACTTCTTCATTCTTCAATATCCCTCCCCTGGTCTCTGCCTCAGACCCCAAGCCTGGAAACTGATAGCCACCTCCTTCTCTTCTGTCCAGCTCCAGGCTGTAGGCAGCTTTATACAAGCAGTAGTTTTAAGGGGCAAGGTCTGCACAACAAAATCTGGCATATGTGAAAATTCATTTGTCTTGAGGCAATTAGATCATGGATTATAGAAATGAGCATTATAATACATAGCAATGAACCAAACCTCTCAACAATATATAATTTATAGATATGGAACACACACACACAAATACATACACAGCTTTCTGAGTATCTAATGTTGGTAGTATGTATAGGTTTTTAAGGCTGCCCACTCTGTATTAGATACCCTCACTTTTTGAGAAAACTTATTATCCCTCTCACATTGCCATTAATGGCCTCTAGCTCTTAATCTGGGGTTACTGCCCTGTGAGATCCCCCCATTCACAATGGCATGACAACTAGTGTTTCTTTGTTCAAGTATTGTTTTGGGCAGCCATACTGTTGATCTGTCATGGGTGAAGTTTTCCCTTTTAATGAGGAAGACAGAACCCTTATAGGAGACTTCCAGGTCCTTAGCTTTTACAATTATTCTGTGTCCTCTTCTGTGATATTCCCTGAGCCGTATATATCACACTGGACTGTGCATCCTGTGGTCAGTATTTCACTACACTTTGATTAGGTATGCTTTTTGTAAATGGTCTCTGTTTGCTAAAGAGATGCTTTTGATAGCAGGAAGATGAGCTACATTTAGATATGGGCATAAGGATACATAGTGGGAATTGCACTGAATGGAAAATGAAGCAGTAGTATACTCTCCTCTGAGATCCATTAGTTGAACTTATTTATGGGACATAATGTTATATTTCAATGCTTGCATATGTTATAATGATAACATAATAATTTTAATATCATTGAGTATTTATCATATATTTATGATGAGAGGATTGAAAATCTTTTCTTATAATTTTTCTAACATCTAATTTATTATTATCACCTGTGGTTATTCTAAAGTGCAATAGAAAGCTGTATTTAATTATTCTTTCAAATTGTAACATTGTACCTTTCAGGCATAATTATTTAAATACCAAATATAAACTCTGAAGAGTAACTATTCTTATATTGGTATTGGTCCTTCACTTTTCGTGTATTTCTCTGCAAAGTTAACATATCAACATGGTTTCATGCTATAAAACGTAATATGATCTGAATTCCAACTCCATTCATTATTACATATAGTGACTTGGGCATACTAATTACACTCAATGGTCTCACTGTCCTCATCAGTAAGTTGTGGGCATACTGTTTTCTTGACATCGTTATTTGAAAACAACTTGAGATGACTATGTGTCTTAGTTAGGGTTTCCATTTCTGTGAAGAGACACCATGAATATGATGAGTCTTATATAGGACACTTATTTTGGGCTGGCTAACAGGTTTAGGAGTTTAGTCCATTATCATCATCAGGGTGGGAACATGGCAGCTTCTAGGCAGGCAAGGTGCAGGAGTAGCTGAGAGTCTGCATCTTGTTCTGACTATAGCCATGAGAAAACTGATTCTTCTATACTGGGCAGAGCTTCAAAGCCCACCCCCCACAATGACACACTTCCTCCAACAAAGCCATATTGTCTAACAGTACCACTCATTATGGACCAAGCATATCCAAACCACCACACTATGAGAGTATCTAGGGCATATCAAGAAATCATTGGTGTGTATTTTATTTCATCTGGAATATACTCAAGACTGAGTACATACCAGAATTTTATAGCAACTTGGAGGTTGAGAATGTAACATTGAAATAATATTTTATCAACAAATAAAATAACGAAATACAATTCAGTTTGCTTTCCTAGTCCCATCATTTCTCAAAATCAATGCTTTGCATAGATTTTAAGATATTGTATGAGACCATCCAAAACCACATTTTTGGTGATTATTTTCATCATTGTAACTACAACTGCTCCTTGTTGTTAAGCCAAATACGACTCAGAATAAGTTCACACCCTTTACTTGTTAGAGTAGGACTTTTTATAGAAAGAGAGAGGGAAGAAGAGAAGGAGAGAAAGAGAAATGGGGAGGGAAGGAGGAAGTTAGAGAGTGAAAGGGAATGAGGGAATTTGGATATTTAATTTAGCCCAAAGGATGACTTAAATTTCAATAGCTCTTGAATAGATATTACTTATATTCTTGAATATAATTTTCTTTATGCTATTAAATTTGTTTATATTAAAATCATTTTCCCTTTATTTTTAGTCACCGCTTAAGTATTTGTAAAGAAACATAGCGGAGTTTAAAAATCACTCGAATCAGGAATGCAACTAAACTTTAATAAATATATTCTGAGTTAATTCATTCTGCAAAATTTTTGCATTAATATTTATATAAGTTTTGCTAACATTTTTCTTAAATTAATTGACTAATGATTTCTTCACTGTCGAGCTCATGTTACTCTTTTGTGAGATAAATATTATTTGAAGTGAATTGAAAGAATGTCTAAGAGAAATGCAGATGTTCATCAATAAGCTTATGTCATCTACTGGAAGACAAACACTACTGGAATACAAACACTACTGGAAGACAAACACTATTCAAGTATTTAGAAGATAATTTAAGATTCAAATCTGAATTACTTGATTCTCTATCATTTACCACATGGCTAATGTTATATCATCATTTAGTGTATTTACTGTAGTTCTGTCCCAAATATCATTTTTCCTTAGACTTGAAACTTAGAATATTATAGTTAATTAGTAAACTGTAGTGAATACTGTTAAGTATCAGGACAAGAAAATATAATAAGATAGCATATCGTAGTTCAATCAAATAGATATTCAAATGTATTACTGAATTTGTGTAATTAACCACCTCCAATTCTTACTCTTCTATGAAAACCACCCTCCCCATGTTGCCAGGGTGACTTATACCTGCAGCTGCCATTAAAGGATGTCTACTTTTATCCCTTGGATAGATGAGAATGAAGCACAAATTCTATTAGATAAAAGAATTCAATTACATAAAAGAAGAATAGTGCTTAAGTTTCTGAAGGGTTTAATAGGCTGCCTACAAGATATTATTCATGAGATCTCAAAAGGATGGATAAAGAAAACAACAACGAATTTACATTGTTTGCACTAATATATGGGTGATGTATTTTGCCAATCTGCTATCTTTCTTCTCATATTCCTCCTAAAAACAAACACACACACACTCGCAGACACATACACAGAAACACACACACACACACACACACACACATGATTTCTCATGTCTGTAATTTCAGGATTCTGGATTCTAAGCTAGGAAAATGATTACAGATTTGAGGCTAGCTTATTCTACAGAGTAATCAGGCCATCTAATCTAATCCTACTGGCAGAGAGAGAGAGAGAGAGAGAGAGAGAGAGAGAGAGAGAGAGAGAGAGAGAGA